TTTACTGTAAAAAACACATATTTTCATTTTTAAGTCTCTGCACGTCTTAAATGGAAGCTTGTGCAATTACCTTTAAAATGCCCTGCTGTTTTTTGTGATACGATGATTTCCGACCGAGATACAAAACTTTCAAGTTTGCCTAATTTTGAGGTAAGCATGGCAAAAGTGATTGACGGGCAGTGTATTTCAAAATGGCATCCCAACTCAATTCGGGCGTTGTATAGTAGTAGACCGGATCCAAACGATACGCAGTTCAAAATTTGGCCCTGAAGTTTTCAAAAACTTCGGCCAACAAGAAAACGTCCGTTTTGAGATACAAATCCGAATAGTTGCCTAGGTCAGCGATATCGAACGTTCTCCAAATATTTTCCGCGTGACTATACTCCTCGTCACTGATATCTGAATCGTACAGACTGCTGTGAAAATCTTGCTTTCGTGGAAGAGTTTTCTCCTCGAGTTTTGTAAACGACAATACATAGTCATACGGAAATACACTTTTTCTTCCCAGTAAGGCTATCTGCGGCAGTGTGTATCCATCAACTAGCTGAAAATTTCGCTCTAGAATATCTTATTTTTCCAAGTATGACGATAGTTTATCGAGAGAAGATTCCATAAATCGAAACGAATCAACGAAACGTAGATATATATTGGTATCTTCCACATATACTTGGTAATAGATATGTATTTTTCCTTGGTTTGAGGAATGAGGTTCATCGACCGGGAAAGTCATTCGCAATTTCGCTGATAAATAGATGCGCATTATATTTACTGAGGTTATGAAAAAATACGGGTATGGTCCTCGATTCTTAATAAGAAACGTTACACCTACTGTGAACAGCTCTACATTACTTTCCAGTAAAGTGACAATGATCGCGAACTTTTGTGTCTTTTTCTTGTCAAAAGGCTTATTATATATATGGCATATCGTGGCATGAAGAAAGCTCAATGTCTATTGAAACGTTAAATTTTCCATAGGCTGTGGGCTTTTGTACAACTCATGCAGATACTTGGCCAATTCATGAAGATAGTGAACAAACCACTTGGCTAGACCAACATCTCCGACGGTATTCTGTCTGTACCTTTGATAACATGAAAGAGAATCATCATAATTATACTTGACGAAAAAACCCACACTGTACGGTTTGTGATGTTTATAGATCCATTCATCGTTATACCCCGCTTCCAAGAAACTCTCAAAATCACAACAAATGGTACTGCGCACTCATTATTAACGTTTTTAAATTGTAAAAATTTATCTTTCTCACTGGTTTAATTTTATACATACTCACATTTTTACAGTCAATCTTGTGCATTTTCAATCTCTGTTCAGTTCGAAAATAGTGTAAGAAACGATCGCATAGGTATGACTTACATCTGTGAAATGACAATTGTCGATACATCAGTCGAGATAAGTCTTTTATCCAAAGATACACAACATGCACTTTGTAAGGTATACTAATACGTTCCATTTACTCTTCATTCACATCGACATTAACATCGATATAATAATTTTCCACTAGAAGAAGGTTCACGTGCTTTTTTTGTTTCTCATCAGTCAAGTGTTGTGGCAAAATCTCGTAAGATCCATTTTTCAAATTTAAAAAATACACGTTCACTGAAACTTCGTTTTGTTTTTTCAAATTTAACGACTTTTTTCAGGTATACCGGAAATGATAGGTTTTTGATATTATATTCATCTTGATGAGCAGTACATGTGGTGACACGACATGCATTGTTTGCGACTGGATGTAACGCTGAAAGGATAGCCTATTTGAAAGATTCGCGGTCATTGCTCTGCACATTGACACAGGCTCTCTTCTTCTAATAGGTTCGGGCGATTCAAAGTAAGAACCAGCCCTTATAGGATTGTACTTGCTAATATTTACGGTTAAATAAACTTAAATATTACTCGTAAATATAACACGAAGAGACCAGCCCAAGTCTTGCTCTTGAAATTCTTCCGTGCTCTTACTGATGAGTTCTTAAACGTTTTCAATGAACCTCTCGTCTATATCTGTAGTTAGGTATATCGGAGCCACTTTCATATTGAAATGATTCACATCGAGCGTTTCATCATACTGGGCATCTAGTATAGCATTCACTTTTAAAGAGCTATGTTTCTCCAAGGTCTGCTTAATTTGAGCATGGAATAATGGTTTAGCATGCCTCAAAAACATATTCAAATCCAGATATTTCAGATTAGTTATTACATCAGTCTTTTAATCTGTTTTTGAACGCACTATTGATGTCGTTCCAGCGAACTGTTGAGTCTTGAGTTGAATTGACAACAGCCGGTGTAGTAATACAGCCGGTTCGAGACCTTTACCAACTACATCCAAAATAACGAAAGTTTCGTGTATCAATTGTTCGCTATGCTTGCTCACAACAGGTTTGGCAATCGATGAAGTGGCAATGGGGCGCTGTGCCAACAGCCTACTCTTGTATTCGTTTAGCAGATGTAAAACGCTTCTAATCATGCATATAGCTATCTGCAGCTTGTATCTGCTAGCCACGATCATGGTAGGCGAACTAGAAAGCTCATCCGCTTTGGGCAAAAATAATGAACCCAGTATCGGGTTCATTAACATTTCCAAAATTTTTAATTAACTTAAACAGATTTTTTAAAATAAATATATTAATAATGGTAATAAAATTTAACATTAAAATTGCAACGGTAGTCGATTGAATTAATTGAACAGTTCGCGATTCTGCTTCTCGCGCGTTAGTTCTAATAGTTAAGAGAGAGAGGAGGCGCGCGATCTTTTGAATAGTCAGTTACGCCTCAGCTGTGAACGCAAGTTACCGCCGATTTGTTTTTCGCACTTTGTTTTCGCCGAATAAAGTTTCCTTGAAACAATTACGTGCGTGTGTGCAACAATAGTATTGCAGCAGCAAGGAGCGGTGCATCGCCGAAACAAATGCCTATTTTGAGGATTTTCAGAAATCATATTTTTGTGATGGCTTAAAAAAACTGGAAGGCCGTTTAATAAAATGTATCGACCTTCAATGAGATTATGTTGAAAAATAAAAAAAAATTACATACGCAAAACTTCTTCTTTCTTTTTGTCAAGACTTATTGAACCCCCCCCCCCCTGTACTTGCTGACTACATTACTTTTTGATTTAGCAAATAAGAAATAAAATTATTATCAATTGTCTACAATACAATGAATATAACTTAAATGATACCTACCTTATATTTACGTGCTGCTTCAGCTGAAAAGAAATATAATAAGGATAAATAAAAAAAAAACAAGATTACAGTTTATCAATAACTTTTTTTTTCTTAATACGTTATCATATATATTGCACTGAAAAGTGCTGTTTTATAATTAATATATTAGTTTGGTCAAATTTATCAATAATTTTTATTACAAAGGAGTTTTAAAAGTGAATAAGAAGTTTTGCGTATGTAATTTTTTTTTATTTTTCAACATAATTTCCTTGAAGGTCGATACATTTTATTAAACGGCCTTCCAGTTTTTTTAAGCCATCAGAAAAATATGATTTCTGGAAACTCTCAAAATAGGCATTTGTTTCGGCGATGAATTCTTCATTCGACGTGAATCATTGTCCGGCAACGCATTTTTTGAGGTTACGAAAAAAGAAAAAGTCACTGGGAGCCAAATCGGGCGAATATGGTGGATGGTCAATTAATTCGAAATTTAAATCGTTACTTTTTGCCATCTAAACTGCACATGTGTGAACTCGAGCATTGTCTTGAAGAAAGAGGCATTTTTTTTTGTTCAAGTGAGGACTTTTTTCTCTGATTTTTTCTTTTAGTTGACCTAATAATGACGCCTAATATTGTCTAGCGATAGTCTGGCCCTTTTTCAAGTAGTCGATGTAGAAGATTCTATACGCATCCCGGAAAACCGTGTCCATAATCTTGCCAGTTGACTTTACTATCTTCCCCTTCTTTGGGGCTAGTTCTCCTGCGGTAATTCATTGTTTGGATTGTTCTTTGGTTTCAGGAGTGTAGTGATGTACCTATGTTTCGTCTACAGTCACGAGTCGACGCCAAAAGTATTCCGGATTACGACGTATGCGTGCCAAAAGAGCCTCAGAGATGATCACGCGGGTTCATTTGTTTTCAACAGTGAGCAAACGCGGCACCCATCTTGCTGATATTTTTTTCATCTCCAATTTTTCATGCAAAATTGAAATGATTGTACCCTTTGATACCCCTGTGGCCTCTACTAATTCTCGCAATTTTAATCTTCTATCACTCAACACCATATCGTGGATTTTGTTGACCATTTCGGGCGTACTCATTCCTTCGGGACGTCCTGAACGAGATTCATCTTTTGTTGTTGTACGGCCGCGTTTAAATTCATTTACCCAGTTATAAACAGTCTTAAACACAGGGGCAAACTTGACATGAACGGCGTTCAACTTAACTGTGATTTCTTTTGGTGTAAGGCCTTTTAAATGAAAATGTTTTATCACCGCACGAAACTCTGTTTTTTCCATTTTTCAAATAAACCAATAACTTTTTGTTCAACCAACGCTCACGAGCTGAAACTTTGTACGATATCTAGTTAGTAGTATTGCTTGCCAAAAACATCATAATTTAAGCGTGACGAGCGCCATCTCTTGGATTTTGTAAAGACTTATTGACCCCTCCCTCATAGAACGCACGGGCATTAGCTTAGCAAGGGGGGGGGGGTGAGTCGACAGTGCCAAAAGCACGTAAGAGGAGGGGAGGTGTGTTGACAGTGCTGAGCTAAGGCCTTTCTAGTTTACCTACCCACGGGTATGGGCTCAGGGAGGCCTCGGCCGAGTGAGCTGATACCCCGCTGAGCTAAGGCCTCTCTAGTTTACCTATTTATGAAATGTGTTATAAAGAATTACGTTTGTGTTTGACGAAATAAATAATTTTACAAATAAATCTAATTAACAAATTAAGATTTAGATTTATGATACACGTTCTCTGCTATTACAATTATTAAATAATATTATCAAAATATTATATTAATATTTATACAATATTATCTGCAGCAGGTTATTCCGAAGATTCAGATTATACGTCAGATTTTAATTATCCAGTTGCAGGACAATGTCCTAACAGTTCTGCGTCACAATTCTGTCCAGCAGCTAATCAGTTAATGAAACCTCAAAGGTCTTTTGAGATATCTAGAGAAAACAGTTATGAACGAGAAGATCAGCAGGTAGCCTTTGATTGCTTAAACTTTGCTAAAAATTTCTTTCTTTATTATATTTTTCATAAGAGTATTTCATATTCGTAGATACCAATGAATTTGAATACACATACAGTTCAAGAAAACTCTATTGAATACAGTCAACCAGATATTAGCTTAAGATATGACGAAAATTTTACTGTAAACGATATTTTTCAAAATAATAGAGTATATATTAAATCTGAACCTTTGGAACCATTATTCTACAACAGTCGACCCCAATACATACAAAACGAATACACAGAATACAGGTACATATATTTCAAACTACATTTCCATTAAATATATTGTATCATTTCACTTTCATTTAAATATACTGTAATATATTTAAATGAAAGTGTTTGTATTGTATATATTTAAATATATTGTATCATTTAAAGTTGACATGAAATTATGATAATTTCACGACAAATCTCAAAATCTAAATTTTTTTCAAGTTCTTCAATGAATATATTTTACTGCATGATGAATATTTCTTGAAATATTTCGAAACTATAAATTGTATTTTCGGTAGTCAATTAAAATTTCGCGAAAATCTGTTATAGAGAAATTTTGTCAGGGTCGATTGGCTTTAACAAACTTTTATTTCGAATAGTTTCTATCTTATTAATCTGAAAAATTAATTCTTTTGAAATACTGCTACGATACTTGATGACAGAAATCTTTTATAACAATACATCAAGTCTGTTGTAACAGGCTGCCGTTTAGTCTATAATATCTCTTGAACATACCTATATAATGACTAAACGACGCCTAGTTATCTATGTGCTCGAAGCACATCAACCTACCTTGTCTTGGAGTGCGCCTGCGCAGAGTCTCTTCGCTACTCCGAGTTGGGTTCTCCCAACTCGCCGCTTGGCGGCGCTGTCGCCCTTGCTTAGTAGCGCTCGCGCGGCCGCTGCTGGAAACTATGTTGACGATTCCCGTCTACCGGTATCCGCGTGATCCGTGCTACGCTACCGGCTTATTTGAATCGAAAACAAATAGACGCGACCTCCGGACAAAGGAAAGACAAAATAACGATGACTAGATTTAATGATAACGATTGACCGATTTATTCAATTAAATCAAATACACGGGGGATTTGCCGAGAGTCTTGCGCACGCTAGCGCGAATGACAATACACGCTGTAGGAGAGAGAGAGAGAGAAAATCACGATCGCCGCGAACTAACCGCTCGCGCGCAACAAACAATTTCTTCGCGCACGCTGCGCGGATTCGCACGCTGACAACAATAATAAAGGGAAGGTGCACGTACCGCGAGAACGATGAGGATACGGTGGCCAACCGTATCCGATATACGCGTCGCTAACTTGTTGCTCCGCCGCTCGCCGCACTCCGCTGTTATTACTGCTGTTGTTGCTGCTGCTATGATTGCTGCTGTTGCTGTTGTCGCTGTTACTGCTGCTGCTGTTGCTGCTGTTGCTGTACTCAGCACACCGCACTACAGTTCTCGCCTCTAACCTCGCACCACCAAACGAAAACGCGATAACGGCTCGGAAGAAGGTTAGCTACGATGCAGGAGGACTGAGTGACACAGTCATACTGCCTGTTGAACTCTCCCCTCCCGGTCATTGCCCCTACGCGCCCTCTCTCTCTCGCGAACCGATCGCGGCTCTTCTCGTTCAGCCGCTTATTAACCTCGCGCGAGTCGAACGATTTTCGGTAATCGTTGCACTGTTGGATAAAAAAAATAAAAGGAGCGTTTTCATTAATTTCATGGTCATATTGATTATACATAGGTAAATGGTTGATATGTAGGTAAGGCTTTTCTTTGTATCATTGCAAACCCCTCAGTAACTACACAGCTGAAGAAATGCAGAAAAATAAATCAAGTACAATCGGCATGGTTGGTTATGGACATAATAATCGGATAAAGACGTGAAAAGTATGTTTTTATTTTTTTTTTCAATGAAAAAAGTATTCTTAAAAATTTTAAACTGTTCTAAAAATTTGAATTTTACGCCAAAAATTTGTGACGGGGCTATAGCGATGCTTGTTGGCCTTGTGTGCGGCACTCTCTTCGCGTGAACGCAGCGACCGAGTATACGCTATATAGCGACTACATACTTGTGTCGTTGCAGAATCTGGAGAGAAGAGCGCGACGATCGGCGAAGTGTCGCCGTGAGTGCGAGTGAGAGCGAGAAGAGCGAGAGAGAGGGAGAGAGAGAGAGCGATTTTGACTGATTTTTGGCGGCGTAAGGCTTAGAAATTAAGAGAGAAGAAGAGCAGGTAGGCGCGAGCTCTCGAGTAATTAGGGTCGCCTACAGAGGACCGTCCTGGACAGGGTTCCTACTGCAGAGGAACCATTGCCACTGGTGCGACAGCTATCTCTGCCAGGGAGGAGAAGCTATTTTGGAAGCAGAGCCAGTTCCCGCAGCGACCATTCGTCGACCACAGAGTAAAGGCCGTGCTGCGGCCCTTCCTGCAGCCACCTCCATCGTCGCCAGGGCGCCGTTTCCAGCGGATCTCCGCTTTTGCTGGCGTCGCCTCTCTACCGACGGGCCGTTGACACCCAGTGGGTCTAACGCCAGTTTATTTTCTCTCGCGCCAGCTTTCGCTCGTCTGCAGATTCTAGTTTGTCAAGCGTAATTTTATCGCACACACTAAGCGATCTCGCTCGCGTGATCCTGCGAACTCTGGTCGTAAAAGGCTGAGCGAGCGCGCTCGCCACGGCGAATTAAATTTGTAACGAACGTTTGTGAAAAGGGCGTCAATAAATGAGATCGCCAATGTAATATTAGTTAATTAAAGTGTCCGATTATTTGAATCATCCTCCCCAACCAGAGCGAACGTCGGCCTGTGAAAGTCAGCGCCAGCTTTCGATACCGAGAAAGAACCTAGTAAAAATTAGCAGAGACCAGCCCAAGGCGCGCCGTGGCTGACCCCTCCTGTATGGCATCCGTTGTTTAATCTCGGCAGGTTTCGTTATTCGCATCATATTGTCCTGGTTGGAAAGAGGTGATCACGAAAATTCCCTTTGTGATAAGTTTTGAACAGTGCGGTGTCTCGGCCGATCAGTGCTTTTCGGCGAATTCGCGGAGTAGCGAGCGAGAGCCGTAGAAATAATTGGGAAAAGGGAAATTTTAGTTGCATGTGACATTTTGATTTTACGTCATTATTGTATCGTCAACACATTTGACTCGAGTTACGCGGAAGCCCGGAGCTAGTGAAACGGACTGACGCGAGAATCGCGGTGTTATGATTAAGCGATTACGCAGTAAATTTGTGTGTGCTGTTATTACGCAGCCTGCGATTGCTCGAGCCGGGTGTTTTGGCTATTTGAAATTTGTAGGTTTGAACTTTGTGTTTGTGAATTTGAAAGTTGCGAGAATCGCAACGATCATTCTCGGCTATTTAGATTGTTGTTAAGCGAGAGCTCAAGGTTAGGCGTGTTTAGAGGCTAAGTAAGTTGTGCTGCGTACTCGCACCATAGGTATTCCGGCTTGTGCACGCTGAGCTGTTCTCGAGAACAAAGAGGACAAACGCGCTTAGGCCTGTTAGTAGTATAGCAATGTATGTTCCAGCACACCGGAAGTCACACCTGCGGGGGGTATTGTTAATAATTGTTAATGTTAATAAATCGGAAGTCACACCTGCAGGGGGTATTGTTAATAATTGTTAATGTTAACAAATTGTTAATGTTAACAATTATTATTAACAATATTTGTGGGGGTTCCTGGTTTAACCCTTTAATTCCCTGGCCTAACGCTTCAGTGTTAATTATTATTAATGTTAATAATTATTTATAATTTTTTGAGGAAGGTTTCTAGGACTCCTAGTCACTAGGGCTCCTAGTCCCTAGGGACCCTAGACCTAGTACTTTCAGTTTAATTAAATTAAATTTTTTTTTTTTTAAGTTATAAATATGTATTATTGACAATTTACTTGCTACATTGAGAATGAAACGAATAGAAAATAGCGACGATTTTTTGAAAAAAATGAAGACACAGACCGGAGTCCTCTGGGTTGGCAGGCTAGCGTTCTACCACTAGAGCCAATGCCACATGTACCTCAGAGGATGCATATTGTGTATATTAGCTACCACGCATACGTTTGGTATTGGGCCTGAGCGTGCGGAGGAGGGGGAGCGCATGCTGTCTATAGTTCTAAATTGAGGATGCGTGCTCTCTCTTTCTCTCTCCTACGCTCTGACTCACGTGGACCACAGCGCGCGGAGGAGGAGGGGAGCGCATATGCAGCTATGCTTGCTACCTACCCTCTTACTATATCTTAAGTTAACTATGTCTATCACAAATGTAGATCACAGCTGGTTTGAGGATGATCAAGCTTCTCCACTACTTTCCGGAAGAGAGAAAAAAGAGAGCAGCTATGCTTTGCTACCAACCCTCTTTATCTTATACTTCATATTGTAGAAAAATATTATCTGTTATTATTACAAGCGTTCGGTAGGATTTTCGATGGTCAGTCTCAAGGCAAACATCGAGTTAGTCATAGCACATTGTGAAATTAGTTTTTCTATTTATTTGTATAAAAAATTTGTGTTAGTGAAAATGGGAAGTATAATTCATGTTTGTCAGCTTCTAGAAACCGTAAGTAATCATTTTAAAAATTAAAAATAATTATATATATATAATTTTATTAATTTTTAATTATAATTTACAGAATACTAATGCTATCCCACGTGAGCTGCTGTATCGGCTGCTCATTGTTATTTTAAACGTAGTAAGATCTTTTTATTTATATTATTTAATATTTAATATTTAAATATTTATTTATTTATTTATTTTCAGTTGCTTAGGTGTGCAGGCAACGCACAACACGTTGCCCAACTCACCTAGATTATTGCGATTGTTCGTGAAGTAAGTATATTAATATTATTATTTAATTCTATATATGTACTTATATAGATTTTTCATTTTTCAGCGCAGAAGCGCGCAGAAATAATGAGAAAAAAACAAGAATTCTCAGGATTAGAGCGCAAGAGAAAAGCTGAGCTGGCCAAGACGGTGCAGGATGAATTAGCAGCCAAAATAAAAAAAAGATTAGTTCCAGCAGAATCATCGTCATCAGCGTCGCCCTCATCTGCATCATCTTTAGTATCGGAGACGTTGTCATCGTCGTCTACGTCAGCATCGTCTACGTCTGCGTCATCTACGTCTGCGTCTGCAACATCATCGATGCCTTCGCTCGACATTTTACAAGATGAGGCAATTGATTTGTCTACTAAGGTAAGAAAACACTTATATTTATTATAAAATTTATATATTTTATGCGTTTATTTTAAACAA